TGAAAAGATGTTCAACATCACTAATCATCAGGGAAATGCAAATCAAAACAACACTAAGATACCACCTCACGCCCGTTAGAATGGCTATAATCACCAAGACAAAAAACAACAAATGTTGGAGAGGATGTGGAGAAACAGGAACCCTCATACACAGCTGGTGGGAATGCAAACTGGTGCAGCCTCTATGGAAAACGGTATGGAGATTCCTCAAAGACTTAAAAATAGAGATGTCCTATGACCCAGCCATCCCATTACTGGGAATCTATCCAATGAACCTGAAATCAACAATCCAAAGAGGCTTATGCACCCCTATGTTCATTGCAGCATTATTCACCATAGCCAAGAAGTGGAAGCAACCTAAGTGTCCCTCGACTGACGATTGGATTAAGAAAATGTGGTATATATATACAATGGAATACTACTCAGCCATAAAAAAAAACAAAATCGTCCCATTCGCAACAACATGGATGGGCCTGGAGCGTATTATGTTAAGTGAAATAAGCTAGAAAGAGAAAGACAAACACTGTATGATCTCACTCATATGTGGAATATAAACCAACACATGGACAGAGAAAACTGTACTGTGGTTACCAGGGGCAGTGGGGGTGGGGGGTGGGCACACCGGTGAAGGGAGTCATATATATGGTGATGGACAAACAAAAATGCACAACCCAAAATTTCACAATATTAAAAACCATTAAAACATCAATAAAAAAATAGTTTTTAAGTGCAACATGTTAATCAGTTAATGTTAATGTTTTTAGTGTGATGTTGGTATTGTGGTTGTATTAAAATGAGTCTATCTTTCAGGAAGACATGCTGAGATATTTATGTGTGAAATGAGGGAAGTGGATGGGATGTGGATATAGCAGGATTGGCCAGTGGTTGATGGCAGCTGGAGTTCAATGATGGGTACATGACAGGTTCATTATACTATTCTATTTAGTTTTGTGTATGTTAGAAATTCTTTGCAATAAAATTTTTTTTTAAATAAGACCTGTATGAGCAAAACTGAGGAACTAATGTAGTGCAGTGCTGATTGTTTATTTCTATTAGAATATAAACAATAGAAAGTAAACAACTGAACAATAAGGGGAAAATAGTAAATTGAGACCAAGCCGTTCAAAGATTTGACTTGAATGCCACTAAGGAGTATGGGCTAGAATTTTAAAACAATGGAGGTTGATGTAGTCCCATTTGTTAATTTTTTCTTTTGTTTCCCTTGCCTGAGTAGACATGGTATTCAAAAAGATGCTACTAAGAACAACGTCAAAGAGTACACTGCCTACAAAGGGGCACATACGTATGGTGATGGATAAAAATTAGACTACTGGTGGTGAGCATGGTGCAGTCTATATAGAAATTGAAAAATAATAGCATACAGCTGAAATTACACAATGTTGTAAACCATTATGACCTCAATAAAATAATTGAAAAAAAAACAATGGAGAAACTGTAAGTGTTTTGAACAGGGAAATAATATGATAAAAGTGCACTTTGAGATTACTGTGGCAATGGTAGGTGAAACATATTAGGAGAACAAGAGTCTGGAGGCAAGAACCAGATGATAAAGACCTGAATAGAGATCTAGAAGATAAAAAAAGGGGCGGGGGTAGGCGGATATAGATGAATCTATAGTGTTGGCAACCAGTTATCTATGAAAGAGTCATGGAAGATTCCAAGATTCTAAACTTGAGCCTAGGAGAACACCAGTGCTATTAAAATAAAAAGAATATTTAATGATAAAATGATAAATTTTGTTTTTTGAAATACTGCTAGTGGAGAATCCATGTGATATGACCAACAGTATGCGACTGGAATGCAGAAAACTGGGAAAGACAGGCTTGAATCTGAGAGACATCTATGTGAGATGGGATGAGATTACCCTGGGAAATTAATTAGTGAGAGAAGAGGGACAAGGACCTTGGGAAGCATCTAAATTTAGGGATTAGGGAAGAGAAGGGGACCCAGAGAAGGGACTAGTAGAGGGGTAGAAGGCACAAAACTTCACATTTGTGTAGGTACTTTAGCTTAGTGGCATCAACTATTCCACCCACTACCATTAGACCCAAATTTAATCATGATAAATAAAAAACTGAATATTCTTTGTACACCCATGTCCAGGAGCAGCGTTATTCATAATAACCAAAAGGTGGAAGCAATCCAAATGTCGATTAATAGAGCAATGGATAGGCAGAATGTGGTATATACATATGTGTTACTCTCTCCAGAGAAACAGAACCAATAGGATGTATGTGTGTGTATATATATACAGAGAGACAGAGAGAGAGAGAGAGACAGAGAGAGACAGAGACAGAGAGAGAGATTTATTATAAGGAACTCGCTCCCGTGAGGACCGTCTGGTTGTTTCTGCCCACTGATAATTGGAGTCAACTTAACAAAAATAGTCCACAAAAGAGGGCAGAAAAATGAGTCAGCTACAAGATGTTCACTTTCGTCTAAGAGATATAGTTGCAGCCTTGTGTCAGTCGTGAATGTCTCAAAGCCTTGCTAATGCACTCTTTTTCCATTTTTCTCATGGATCAGTCATGCTCTGCCAGATTCCATCAGGAATGCGTTAGACAGATGGTCCAAGAATTATTGCAAGCTGAGGAAAAAAATTTATTATCTTGAACTAGTAATGACCTAAAAAAATTACTGAAACTGTTTTCTGACTATTGTTAAAAATTTAGTATCCAAATGAAGAATAATAAAAAAATAGTACACATTATGATGAAACTAAAGTTATTGTATTTGTGAGACATTGACAAATCATTAAATAGATAATGCTACCTAACTTATTAATTAATTCAGCTTGGATTGGGGTGGAAGTGATGGATTATCCAGACGTAGCAGAATGCATGTTTCTTTAAAATCAGGATTCTACAAGTACTGTGACCGTCTTGTAATGGGAGCTATACGAATTGTCTCAGCTAGAGGTAGTGTTCAGTTGCAACAGTTTCTCTATTTCTTTGTTATCTTAGATTTTGTTCTATTTAAAGTCTTATTTATATGTGTTTTAATATGACTACCTATTGCATAGGAAGTAGGTAGGATATAAATCATAAAAACAAGAAATCACTTTGAGTACTTACGTTATAGGGACCTATTCTAGGGCATTTGCATTTATTTTCTCTTTTAGTCCTCACATTGGGTACATAAAGAAGTTATTATTATTGTTACCTTCACTTTACAGATGAGGAAACTGAGGTCCAAGAGACCAAGTAACTTGCCCACAGTCACACTTAGTAAATGAAGGAGCCTGGATTTCAAACCCAGGCTGTCTTATTGCAGAGTTGGAGTGTTTAGCCACTGTGTAATTAATTAGAGAAGTAAATTGCCTACAGAACATTAACCCTTGGTTAATATCTCCAACAATATCCTCTCAAACTCAACGTATTAAAATCATAACTCATCATGCCTCTGCCTCCCCGCAACACCCCTCCCCCAACACCCCAACTCTACCGTGAAGACAATTTCAATTCTGCCAGCAGTATCACTATTCTTTCAAACATCCAGTCTCAAAACTTTGAATTACCTCTGACTTCCCCCTCTCCTTTTCACTTTTATCCGCAGTACAGCCAATCAGAGAGAGCAGGTACCAAGAATCTTTACTATTAAAAGTTTTCTGTCATTGAGTTTCTACTGGAGCAGGGACTACCAGTACTAGGTACTGCCTTTTTTTTTTTTTTTTGCGTGGAAGATCAGCCCTGAGCTAACATCCATGCCAATCCTCCTCTTTTTGCTGAGGAAGACTGGCCCTGGGCTAACATCTGTGCCTATCTTCCTCCACTTTACATGGGATGCGGCCACAGCATGGCTTGACAAGCGGTGCCTCAGTGCGTGCCCAGGATCTGAACTCGGGCCGCCAGCAGCAGAGCGGGCACACTTAACCACTACGCCATGGGGCAGCCAGGTACTGCCTTTTAATGTTTCTGTTTTTATTTACATGGTCAAAAACAGAGAATCAGGAAATTTTGGAAGTGTTAATATGAGAAGCCAATAAACAGTAATATTCCAGCCACTTCCCAATGAAGAGTTATTAAGTGATGAGAAACATGCTGGGTATTTATCCAAAGAACATGAACATATGAATGTGTAAAGATATATGCACCCCTATGTTCATTGCTGCATTATTCACAATAGCCAAGATTTGGAAGCAACCTAGGTGCCCACCAAGGGATTAATGGATAAAGAGGATGTGGTATATACACAATGGAATACTACTCAGCCATAAAAAAAGATGAAATCTTGCCATTTGCACAACATAGATGGACCTTGAGGATATTATGCCAAGTGAAATAAGTCAGAGGGAGAAAGTCAAATACAGTATGATCTCACTCATAAATAGAAGATAAAAACAACAAAAAACAAACATATACAGACAGAGATTGGATTGGTGGTTACCAGAGGGGAAGGGGGGAGAGAAGAGGGGGAAAGACATGATTAGCTACATGTGTATGGTGATGGATGATAATTAGTCTTTGGGTAGTGAACATGATGTAATCTACACAGAAACTGAAATATAATGATGTACCTGAAATTTATATAATGTTATAAGCCAATGTTACCTCAATAAAATATATATATATAAAATATATAAATGATGAGACACAGATTAAACAATGGTATTTTTATTCACTTTATTATTTTTAATTAGCTTTATTTAAGCTATGGGTAGTATCAAAAAAGAGGCTATATACTTGGCCACAGAATATAATTACAGTCCAACATTTATATTTGTTGCAGAACCTTTATTTGAAACTGATGAATGGCCTGTCCTGGGGCTAGTCCTCCAGGAACTATTAATACTTCCCTAAGACAAGATGAGAATCGGCTGTCTCTCAGACAGAACTACAAGTCCCAGAAGGCGCTTTACCCTATCTTTTTCGCGAGAATCCCGGAGGGCTACATCAACCAATCCCTTCATGGAGAGCGTGTGCTATCAGCCAATCAGAAGGCGAATGGGCGCCTGGAGGCGGGAGGCGGAAGGCGCCCTAGATTTGAAATACGAAAGTTGGCGCGGCTACTGGAGCTGGGTCTGGAGGCGGATTGCCCGCTGCGGTCGGTTCGAGTCTTGTGGGGAAGGCTTCGGGGCTCAGGCCTGCCGGAGACGGTGAGGGAGGTGGGAGCTGAGCTGAGCCCCTTGACCCGCTTGTCGCGATAGGGAAAAGTGGGTTTGGGGGCAGAATGTGTGTTTTCGCGCGCGAAGTCTGTGAAATGTGCGTCTTGTTGCTGTTTGGGCGTCTGGGCCTCGCGGGGTGGGCGGCGGCGAGGCTGTGGGGTTTTGTGTTTCACCGAACGAGATGTATGTGGCCCTCCTGGGAAGATTTTAGGTCGTTGGGAAAGTTTTAGAGTTACAGAGAACGGGTGGGACCTGGAGTCTTACAGGACATGTTTTAGAGGAGAACGCTGAAGTCTAGAGAGTGGAGGTGACTTGTACAGGTCCTGGACTAAACCCACTAACCTCCCACTCCGGTCTCCATTTTACTGCTACCTTTCTTGATCTGGGATGAGCGGGAGAGGCAGGGTAGATGTGTGGGGTCTTATCGTATGGGAGGGGCCGGCCACCTAGGGCCTGGCGATCCAAGCTGCAATTGAAAGGATCAGAGTTGGAAGGGGCCTTAGAAGTCACCAGTTTTACTTGTGGGAAAACGGAGTTAAAATCATTTTCCCAGGGTCATAGAGTGTGTAAGTGTCCTCTGCAGTTACACTACTGATGGATTCCTAGGAGGTGAGTGTTTCCTGAATTCTTCCTGCACCTTAACCATACATAGTTAGGTCCAGGTGGTTTGATCTGCTTTGGAATATCTAGAGTTAAAAGTAAATTGCTAACCATTTTCTAGCAAAGGTCAACTGCCAAAATACATGTGATTGGAATATGTGGCTGATATAATTTTAATAACTTAAAAAATACAATGTATGTCCTTTTCGTAGCATTGTCTTACAAAATGGTAGAGGACGAACTGGCGCTATTTGATAAAAGCATAAGTGAATTCTGGAATAAATTCAAAAGCACTGTCAGTGACACCTCCTGTCAGATGGTGGGACTAAGAGATACCTACAAGGACTCCATTAAAGCATTTGCAGGTACCTAAAGTTAACTTGTAACGTGCTGTTTTTGTTGTTCTTGTTTGTTTTTAGTGTTATTTCAGCTGAACTGGAACTTAAATTTCAATTTATCTTTCAGAAAAGCTGTCTGTGAAATTAAAGGAAGAAGAACGAATGGTTGAGCTGTTTGTGGAATATCAAAATCGTATGTGACAAACTATAGACCACAGAGTTTATTTAGATTAAACATTTTTATGAAATCCCTCATACAAATAAAACAATATATACACACACACATACATGCATATATAAAAAGTAATAAACGTTTATGTATCCACAACCTAGCTTAAGAAATAGAACATCCCATGTTATTCCTTCCTCTTCTCCCACCTTCCAAACCTAACCTATCAATATTTTGTTTAGTATAGGGTTTTTGAATGTTATATAAATGGCATCATTTTGTATGTATTCTGTCTCTTTCTTCACTCAGTGTTATCCTTGTGAGATTCATCCGTGCTGATGTGTAAATGCTAGTATTTTTTTTTTTTGTGAGGAAGATCAGCCCTGAGCTAACATCCATGCTAATCCTCCTCTCTTTGCTGAGGAAGACCGGCCCTGAGCTAACATCTATTGCCAATCCCCCTGCTTTTTTTCCCCTTTTTCTCCCCAAAGCCTCAGTAGATAGTTGTATGTCATAGTTGCACGTCCTTCTAGTTGCTGTATGTGGGATGCCGCCTCAGCATGGCCGGACAAGCAGTGCATCGGTGCGCGCCTGGGATCCGAACCCGGGCCGCCAGTAGCAGAGCGCGCGCACTTAACTGCTAAGCCACGGGGCCGGCCCCTAAATGCTAGTATTTTTAAAAAACAAGTTTGTTTTCCCATTGGAAATCACCGATGGGGGTTTGAAAAGCTGGAGTTCTCTCAGCTTTTTGGGGGCAGAGTTAGTACTCTGACAGTTTTTATCTCCATATTTTTACTACTCTTCTTGCCTTCTCATTTCTACCACTCTCTAGGTTGTCCCAAGTGGATCAGCACTTTTTATTGAGTTCTTACACACAGACCACAGACTTGTGGCCACAGGTCAGGTTCCACTGCAGATACTAAATTTAGCAGCACCATGTTTTAAACACTATTAAATTGAAATGGCCTTACATGGGGCATGTGTTCTTTAATTTGCCACAGTCCCTGATAGTTTCTTTTGCTTTGCTTTGCCCACCTTACTCATTGTCTGGCCCCTGAGGGCATTTGATTTTGTATCCCCTGGTTATTATGCTAGACTTTTACCCATGTTTACTTTCTAAGCTGCCCTGAAGCTTCCATAGCCTTTTACTGCCTCTCTCCTCCCCTCTGTAACCATAAGCAGGAAGGAAAACCAGTTTTGTTTGTGCTCGCGCATGTGTGTGTGTGTGTGTATGAGTGATGCTGAGTTTGGGTCCTTTAAATACTCTTGGTTTGTAGAATCCCTAGGGATTAGAAAATTAAGTTTGAAACTCAATTTTTACTACCATAAGTCTCAAAGAATGCTCTTAAAGGTTATCTGTAGTGTGAAGATGTGCTCTAAATAGTCTAAAATCTAAAAGCATTCTCAATTATTTTTCTTAAATCAATTTATACTTGAACAGAAATATAATTTACCTAAATTTAATTAATTCAATGAACATTTGACTGCCACATGCCAAGCACTGAGGAGATAGCAATGCATAAGGTATAATCTATACACTGCTCACAATTTCATGGAAGATGCAGATGGGGAAACCACAATTAAAATACATTGTAATAGTTGCTATAATAAGAATGGGTGCTGAGTGAGCGCTAAATCTGGAGGGCTTGATTTTTCCAGTGAGGATTGCAGAATATTTAACAGCTAACCCCTACCTTATATACCATGTGCCAGGCCTTGTTCTAAACTCTTTACGTATGGTGACTCATTGAATCCTCACAATAGCCCTAGGAGTTATAGTTAATGTTTTTTTGTTTTGTTCTTTTTTGTGAGGAAGATGAGCCCTGAGCTAACATCCAATGACAATCCTCTTCTTTTTTTGCTGAGGAAGATTGGCCCTGGGCTAAGACCTGTGCCCATCTTCCTCTATTTTATATGGGATGCTGCTACAGCATGGCTTGACAAACGGTGGATTGGTGCGCGCCCAGGATCCGAACCTGCGAACCCCGGGCCACCAAAGCAGAGCGTGTGCTGGGCCGGCCCTGTGGCTTGGTGGTTGGGTGCGCGCGCTCCACTGCTGGCGGCCCGGGTTCGG